CAAATCAATATTTTTTAATGTTATTTTTGCCATGTCATAAAAAAAAACATAAAAAATGCCACATGGCGGACTTAACGGCCCAAATTGACAGAAGGACTAACGGAGTGCATTTCGTATAGTTGAGGGATTAAAAAAGTGCAAAAAATTGTTGAGGGATCAAAAATGTGCATTTCTTAAAGTTAAGGGACCAAATTTAGCATTTAACCTAAAAATAAATAAATTAATAATTAAAATTTTGTATAAATATGATGATGTATATGATTTATGTATAAATAGATCTTATCTTAATTAGAAATAATAATAAATAATTTAGGAATAATATTAGAGTTTGGAAAGATTGGTCGAGGTACGTCTGATTGACAATGAACAAAAAGGAGCAGAATCACTCCCAAAATTATTGAGTTAAAATAAATCTAACGTCTAAAAGAAATTGACTTATTTGCCACCTGAAATTGTTAATATATCTGTGCTGATGCACTGGATCACTAGAAACTAGGGAATTTGCTGCGAGGACATAGGAGTATAGGGTCCGTAGGAGTAAGCACTACTTTGTAGACATTGTTTTCAACGACCATAGTATTCTATTTTTCATGCTCTTCTAGAAGGACCTCTATTAATATATTTAATTTTTGTCGTTACTCGTTACAATCAATAGCTGTAATGAGTAATGGATGCATCAGCTGAGGCTGAGTGAAACGACGTAAATTAATTAATAATTATGTTCAAAACTTCATAGTAAATAAAATAATTCCTATGGATAAGTAATATGCAATTTGATACATATTGATTATTAAATTTATGTGTATAAGTCCCAATTATTAAAATTTCAGAGTTTATAAATCTAAATATGAATATCATGAGTGACTTGAATTTTACGGTCTAATGATTATAAATTACCTTGTACAGATATCATTGGAGTTTAAATTTTTTAACTCTTAATTAGGAGACCTGTTCAAAAAAAAAAATGTATATCATAAAATATATTTTTTTAACTAATAATAGTGTATATCCATGAATCACCATACGAAATTAAAAAACATACAATACTACCTCCATTTAACTTCGAAAATCTAGTTAATTCAATTTGCTCATCAAATTTATTTTATTTTATTTTTTAAAGAAACCAAAATGTATGCCCAACTAGGTAACGG